TCAAACAACACGACTATAACTTACTAATTACAACAAATAATCATATACTTACATACACTAAAGTCTAACATACAACAGTTACTCATATAAAGTGAAGAAGCTTTCATTACAAGCAATACATGCGGATTGTGCAGCTCGTGATGGCCCCAGCACTCCACAAATGTACAGGTATACCCAACCAAAAGCAAAAGAGAAAATATATAAACGCAATAAACACTTGCACTAACCCTCACAAATGGAGTTTATGTTTTGCTTGTCTACAAACGGAGGGGTCTTATAACAAATACTCACACCAATTATAATGGTCTATAATAGCGGGTGTGCAGGCTTCAGAGAGAACAAAATAATTGGAAAAATCTGTTTGACCTTATCTTACTAAACTGTAACATTTTAGTAACTGTGCAAAATGCATTTACATCATATATAATTGTGGATGATGAATAACTAAACTAATAACCTAAACTGAGCACCTAACTTACCACATGTAAACTTTTTAAATGGTCATTTGTTAGAATTTCTTTTAACTGAAAATATTGCTAAGGCAAGAACAAAAACAATTGTAAACAACAGAAAGCATAAACACTAGCAGTGCTGGTTTCTGGAAGCCACTGAGGGATGATGTCCTGGGAACACTGAGGCTAAAGCATGTCACTGATGTCGCTGTCAACGCTGACAATGTCTTCTGGTCAAATCAGTCAGGCCTTGGAGTCCAGACTTAAAATCTTCTGGCTGATTGTTGACAGCATTGTCCAACATTACACTCACATCTGGCCATTGCAGAGCAAATTCCCTCTCTGCAGTTTCCTGGTCATGTGCCAAAGTGTGACACTCTTGTCAATGATCCCAGCTCTTGCTCATACCAGTCTGCAGCCACTGATGACTCTGGCAAAAGGTCTGTGGATACACGTTTTGGGCATCCCTCTCTGGCCAAGTAACTGGGGATTCCCTTTCCTAAAAGAAGTAAAGATAAAAAGGATACATTGCTCAACCTATACAATGAATAAAAAAAAAAAGTATTTTAAATAAAATGCATCCCACTTTGTCTAACCACTGTGCATTTGAGAAGCTGGCCCACAATCCTGCTTCATGTGTAGGGGGAACAATCTGCGATATCTTAAAGGGGTGATGAACTGAGAAATCAAATTTTCCTTGAGCTTTTGACATCTAAGACGTCATCAAATTATAAGAATATCCTGTAAGTTTCAGAACTGAAAACGTCCTCGTTAGTCCAATAAAAGCTTTTATTGACACCAGGCTCAGCAAACGACTCGTTTTTCAAAGTGGGGAACTATGACGACAAAGAGGATAAAAGCCCACCCCCGCAGAAGAAGATCAACGCCTACTTCAACACGGACGGTTTAGCCCCGCCCACCGATTCGCGCATTACACGAAACTCATTATAATATGCAAAACTGCGGTTATCACTCCGCCCAATTAGCAGTGCTTCGCCTTCAGAGAATATAGTTCCCAGTATTTATACGGTTAAAATATGTCTGTGTCTCATGTGACTTTGTTTTTTGTACACTCTGTGACTATACAAATCACAACATGTAAATAGGAAAATGTTTGCGCTATTTTGTCACTTATTTGGATTAGTATGCTAGCTGCAACCATTTACATCCAGTCTTTGTGCTAAGCTAGGCTAGCGGTGGGTGCGTCAAACAGACTTATAGCACGCACGGAGATGAAAAAGGTATGTATGGACTTATCTAACTCTGGGGGATAAGGTGAATAGGCTAAAGTCCCAAAAAGTCGGAGTGTTCCTTTAACCCTTGTGTTCTGTTCGAATTCTGTGTACTCCCCTTATGGACCGGGTCAAATTGACCCTAATTGGATTCAATACAATTCCTCAAAAATCACACTATGAAAAACAACAAAGATTTAGATACAAACTGTAAACTTTTAATATCAGCATTTGTCAAACATTACAAAAACATTATATCTGAAAATATGATTTATGAAAATGTTTTTAAAACATTTTTTAAAACAGTTTTGTTTTGACAAAATTGGAAAATAAACAGTATACTGATGTTTTTGCATATATTTTTTTTTCCTTTTTTTTTTTTACATTTTATGCTTTGAACATCATAAAAAAATGCTGTATAATGAAAATTTTTCATTTTCCTAAGTTAACTTTCCCTAGTTTCCTAAGACCTATTTTCCTAGTTTCATTATTCACTCACTGGGAAGTGAGAAACCAAACATAACAAAAACATACATCAAAAAAATTTTTTTTATTTATTTTTTTGGCTCTGTGAATCTGCCTTTGAAAATCCTACATAAAAGTTTTGGTTAAAAGCTAGGTATTTTAGATATTTTGAATATTGAAATGAGAGCTTATTTTACTATCTGTGTCTGACAAAGATTTTCATCTGTAATTTGCAAATAATTCTGAACACTGTAATTTTAGCTTTTTCAAGTGTGTTTGGTTAGGGTTAGAGCACTTTTAGATGCACTTGCACGTTAGAACTGGAGTTGAAGTGCCCTGACATACAGAAAATAAATGTTTTTATTTTGTGTCTGTACAGTTGCTTTTGAATGGCTGTCTATGAGGGTCAAATTGACCCGCGAACATCACGAACGTAACAGTAATTTTGTTTGTATATGTCAAAACACATCAGCATGTTGAAACTTTGCATGCATGTTCATCATGATAAATGAGAAAAAGTCACAAAATATCAAGAAAAAAAACAAAGGTTAACCAGTATTTCCAACAACTTGAAAATCGAAACGGGTCAAATTGACCCGCAACATAACACAAGGGTTAAGGATGTTGTTATTATTAGGCAAATTATTCTGTTATTTACTACAACACACCATTTAGGATTTCCATAGTAAAATGTGAATTTGCTTTGACAAAAATCACTATGAAAAGGATTTTTTAATAAATAAATGTTGCATAAAATTACCTAGGACTTAATGTTACAGTACACAGCTCAATGATGCTAGATGGTCTCAGATCTCACTTATGATCTGCGTCATGATTCCCCTAGTGTTTTATTAAACACGTTTTAAAATATGTTCATCAGAAAATAGTAAACTTAAAAATAGTATACAAAATGCTTGACATTGTAATTAATTAAAAAGGCTTGAACAGGCATCACACATATTATAACGTATTTTCAAAATTTGAGATGACATGCAATCAGACTCAAATTTGATTGAGATGAACCCCAACACAAACCTGGAGTCCTGTGGGCCTTCCACGCTTGCACAACACGGTCAACTCCAAGCCGAGCCAACTGGCATGTCAAGGATGACACACAGAATTTGGACATGCTGTCCTCCATATCCAACGCCTCCTGATCCGCCAGTTGGACCAATGCCACTTTCAAAGGGTAGTTCACAATTTCAGGCCAAATTCTTTCAATAGTGTGATTCTTTCAAAGCAAAATATAAAATACTTATTTAGATTCTTTACACAGAGAATCCTGTCCGACAATAGCTGATTTCAACACAACACAATTATCACCAACCTTTAGCTTTCCATTACGAATAAATACAAGCATAAGGAATTAATTAAAAGGGTGACTGACTGAAAATCATTGAAACTTACAAATTACAATCAGGGTGTGTGCATATTTTGCTCAACTGTATTCATTGCAATTCAGTTTTCCAAACGAGTCACGTTTGTTGATGGTGTTTGCATATATGGTGGCCTCTCTGAGTTGTGGCGGTGGCCGGCCAATTTCTCCTGCATGTAAAGAGTAAGGTAGGGCTCCTTCCCATGGTCCACTCTTGCCTGGTCCCACATCCCATACTCCATCACTGCACTTCTGCAAGAAAAGATAAGATTGCCAATTGTGTGACAGCAGTATGGGGTCTGTTAGTGTCACCTTTAGCTGAAAGATATCTAGTACGTCTTATGTTGTCAGGGAGTGGGGAGGTAATCTGAGTGTTGACTGGCTGCTTAAAAGGCAGAATAGCTGCAACAATTATTTGATTAGATGAACCACAAAAAACTTTGATAATCGATTAAACATGTCAGTCCTTCACTAATTCCTGCATCTGAATTGTAATTGTTTGCTGTTTTTATTATAAATTAATTATACTAAACTTTTAAAACTACTTTTTTAAAATAATGCTAACCTCATAATCCAATTAATTATTCGTATAGATAAAAATTGCATTCCTGACATTCACAGATATTGTAAGGCCTGAAAATTGGACAATATGATTTTAAGGTTTTAAAGGATCTGTATAAACAGTGTTTAAGCAAATCATGAATTGGGATGATTTCCAGAAGCTGGTTCTTATTTTGACAAAGTTCTTTTGGTGTTTTGGGTACATTGAAAAGGTGGTTTAAAATACCTGTAAATATCATGGTGATGTTGTTCTTCACAGGCATTGTTGATTTTCCAACAGTTTTGCTGGAGAAGCGAGAACTATAGACACCAAACACACCAAACATAACCATTTTTTTCATTCTGGTCTATGTGTACTTTGTGTCCCACATAGCCTGCATTATATGGAACAGGATTAAGGTTCCTGGCTCCCTTAAAAACAGACAAAAAAGAACATCAGTACATCATTACATAGTAAACCATACTGAAATCAAAGAAAAAAACTCATTGATGTAAAGCTTTAGACATAACCACCTAGTATACTGTAGAAAATACATTTAAACCCTCCTGCAACCAACTCTTACAGCCAAACAACATAATAACACCTGAGCAACCACTGTCACTTGATTATCGTACAGATTGAAAACAATACTGCAAGAAATACCACTATTACAATACACTACACTTACTGCTACTATTCATAGCACTAAGCACTACTCCTGCTACAGCGACTACCTCACAATGTGTCTCTGTAATGCTGGAATGTATCATGTGAGTTTTTGCACCTTTTGTCAATTAGTAGTTTAATTATTGATTTGTTGCTTATTATTTATTTGACCATTTATTTACCTTATGTATATGCTAATGTTGATCAATATTCATGCTATATTATTGTAAATTGTAATTCATCCGTCTAAAATCTGCATGCCGGTCCTGCATTTGAGAGAGATACACACATGAATGGCAGAAATAGTCAATGAACAATGAACTGGGTTAATGTATTTTAGCATAAATAAAATCTTATATTACATTTACCTTTAAAGTCTTTAGAAAGTTTGCTAAACATTGATATTGTGTAGTTTGTGCTCCTCCATCAGCAGCTGCAGTTTCTCTCAGCTGTATCAGTGCAGTCACTGTGACGTCTGACTGACAGAGGTTTTTGTACGACTCTTTATCACTGTGTGAACACACGAACACTGTTTGGATAGTGAAAACTCTGACAGTAATAATCTCCTGTATCTTCAGTCTGGACTCCACTGATGGTCAGAGTAAAATCACTGCCATAGTTAGATCCACTGCCACTGAATCTAGATGGAGTTCCAGACTGAAGGGTTCTTATGTAATAAATCAGGAGTTTAGGAGCTTCTCCAGGTTTCTGCTGATACCAGGACACACAGTCACTACAGCCAGAGATCGGCTGACTGGTTTTACAGCTGATTGTAACAGTTTCTCCTTGTTTGATGGGTTTCATTGCTGGACTCTGAGTCACTGTCACTTGTCCCCAGATCTCTGAAATTAGACAGTTTATTCATTAATGGTTATTGGACTGTAAATGAGATGTGATTGTTTGTTTTGCAATAAGATATTTACCCTGAATGCAGAGAGTCAGAGTCCAGATGAAGATGATGATGTTGTTCATAGTTGTAGTTTAGTCTTGTGTGATGATGAAGAGTGTGTTGTGTTCTGCTCTCAGTCATGAAGTGTTAAACTCACAGCACTATAAACACTCTCAGAGCACTGAAGCATGTGCTGACAATGCAAAGAAGTGGGCAGGATTTACAACAGCTTGTGCTGAGAACAAACTCATATACACTCTACATAGAAGATTTTACTTTCTTCCATTTAGTCATTAATTGTACATATTGATTAATTGTGAAATATTGTATGTTTGGCTGATAGGACACTAGGGTTTGACTTTATATTGACATCTCTCAGTGTGGATGAAGCATTTTCAGAGCCGCTGTAAAAAATAATCTATTCACTGTCATGCAGTTTCATTTATATCAAGTGAATATTTCTGATGATATGCATCCAAGATAAAGTGAGCAGAATTCAGCTGGTCATGTGATCAGTTTCAGCTGGTCATGTGATCTCAACATGATGGACACCATAAAGAGAGACCAAATAAGATGTTTCTAGGCCACTGAAATGACTGGAGAATCATTTTAAACTTATTTGTCAAACTCAATAATTATTTCTTTATGAATACAGTTATGTGCTACACCTTTAAAAGCATGTTAACAATGAGAAGTCAAGAACTAAATAAATCAATTTTACTATTTAGAGTAAACCAGAAAAAAATTCCATTATGGTCTTTGGAATCAATGTTGACATGTTGCTATCTGGGAAATATTTTCATGATGTCTATTTTTCCCACATTTTCCACATGCATGAAGTTCATCAGTTCTTATAATCAGGTCATATATGAGACTAATCAATAATTATGAACTTTTCAGATGCTTGTTGTTTAATCTAATGTCAACATCATCCATGATCAAAGAGGTCAAAGTTCACCTCAGAGGTCACAGCTCATCACATATATTTCTTTAAACAGTGTTATATCAGAAAGCATTTAGTCAAATCTGAATGAGTGAGTGTTGAGAAGAGCTGAGGATCATCTAACGTTTGGTAAGTTATTATAGTTATGGTTTTATATAGTTTGGTTTTATTTTATTTAACTGTAGCTTAGCTCACTACATTCTCCAGCTTGCCCAACACTATTAAAATCCTTTCAAGAGTACGTTTGCTCAGAGCTACTCCATGCCGTTCATCTTATAAGGCAAGAATCTCATCATCAAGATTTCCATTACACGAGAGTAGATGTTAAAACTTCATGCTGATTTGTACTCGGCTTTCGCCAAGATAAGCAAAACTAAGACGTAGCTTTACAGTAAACTATGCTTCTCCATCCATTTACGCTTCTTTCCATAAGGTAGTGTGACTCCCCTTCTGTCCGGCGTTAACGGCAGCAGTGTACTTGGCGCGTTAGCGCACGCGACGGCTGCAACTACAGGACCAGCACGACAACCGTCTGGATTGAACCGAGTAGGGGACATCTCTAGGGTCTTCAAGTGGCCACCTTCCGTCCTCAGTGTTTCGTCGACTAGCCCACGACACCTCAAGAGGGCTCGACAGTGACTCTGGCGTCCCAGAGTCACCCCCCTCCATCCCCCACTCAACTCAGCCCAGCTTACTGACCTCTACATCCCTCCTGCTGCTGAGACCTAACCACAATATCACAATCTCTCCGCGACCCAACCATACGCGCCAACCCGTTGACTAAGGCTGTCGAGCCCCACTGGTGCGTTAATATGCAGTTTCAGTGGACAACGGTTCCGTATGGCATACCACCTACCGCAAAACACAATATCTACCCAACCACCCGTCATTCACGCAATATCCACAGGAACGTATACAAACAAACCAACAGACTCTTCAAGTTTTCAAGAACTCTACAAAACCGTAGCGTGGCGGCCTGTACACAGCCAGCTAGAATCTTTCCGTCTCAACCACAGCCAGTTGCTGCTCCTTTCTGCTGCTTCAGATAAGTTCTTTACTGTGCGACGCAACTCTTGGCCACTGAATCCGACGTCTCTGAGGAACCGGGTTGTAGAGTGTGCCACAAAACCTCGACAACCCACTTCCACTGGATAAACCTGGACTCTCCATCCTCGCTGTTCTGCTTCAGTGGCCAGATGAGCATACCGCAGTTTCTTCCTCTCATATGCCTCATCGACCGCATCCTCCCATGGCACTGTTAACTCTATCAGTTGAACAATGCGTGCTGATCCAGACCACAAAACAATATCTGGTCGTAGGTTAGTGGTGGCAATCTCAGGTGGAAAAATAAGCCGTTGATCAAGATCAGCCAGCATCTTCCAGTCCCTAGCAGCTTCCAGTTGTCCTGGGCGAGAATTGGTGTTAACACCTTTTCTTGGTGGTTGCTCGCCTGGGCGGAGGAATATTGTCTTCTGCGTGTAATGTTTTGCTAGAACAGGTGGCAACTTATTGGTCATGTTACGCTTGCCTTCTAATGCTAAAGCCAAACATCGCAGTACTTGGTCATGGCGCCAAGTAAACCGACCTTGGCTAAGAGCCACCTTACATCCTGTCAAAATGTGCCTTAATGTGGCAGGTGATGAACACAAAGGACAAGAGGGATCCTCTCCAACCCAGAGGTTTAGGTTCTGCGGTGATGGGAGAACATCATATGTCTTGCCAGCCCATCTTACGTTGTTCTACACTCTCCCATCTCATCCACTCTCCCTGCTTGGCCTGTGAAATGGCCTTTATACACCTCATCCTCTCCTCCTGCTGTCGCACCTCGTTGACTACCAGCTTCCTCCTTTGAGCTGGGCTTGCCTTGTGCCATTTAGGAGGAGCTAAACTGAGCCCAAAACCCCCTCTTCCATGCTGTACCTGTCCCACGATATCCCTAATTTGAAGGGCAGCCTTTGCCTCTACTACAGATTTCTTTGCTGACCACTTTCTACCAGTTTTTAACACAGGGGCTGCCTCCCTTACACATTTGTCGCGTGACTCTACTAAGGTCATTTCCAGTCTGACCTTGGCACACTTGAACTCCTCGGTTAAAGCAGAGACTGGCAGCTGCAATATTCCTTTACTATAAAGTCCTACTCTGCTGAGGCAGCGTGGAACTCCCAACCATTTCCTGATGTATGAACTTACCAACGCTTCCAGCTTCTCCACTGTTGTCAAAGAAACCTCGTACACGGTCAGTGGCCACAGCAACCTCGGCAGTAGACCAAACTGAAAGCACCAGAGTTTTAGTTTACCAGGTAGAGCACAGCTGTTTATGCTCTTCAACCCTTCCACTGCTTGTCGTCTAACTTCTCCCACCCGAACTGTGTCCTTTAGATCCCCATCGTACCATCTCCCAAGACTCTTCACTGGCTTCTCAGAAACTGTTGGTATTGCCTCACCATTAATGAAGAATGTTTTATCTACTACCTTTCCTTTAACTATCGAGATGCTCCTTGATTTAGAGGGCTTAAATTTCATTCGTGCCCATTCAATATTATCTGTTAACTTCCCCAATAACCGATTAGTGCAGGCTACTGTTGTAGTCATGGTTGTCATGTCATCCATGTATGCTCTGATTGGTGGTAGTCGCACCCCAGAAGCCAAGCGCTCTCCTCCTACTACCCATCTTGATGCCCTCATGATTACTTCCATCGCCATGGTAAAAGCCAGTGGAGAAATGGTGCATCCTGCCATTATTCCAACCTCTAGGCATTGCCATGCAGTGCTGAATTTTGGAGTTGAGAAACTGAATTGCAAATCTCCAAAATAGGCTTTCACTAAATTTGTTATTGACATTGGTACTCTGAAAAAATCAAATGCTGCCCAAAGAAGCTCATGTGGCACTGAACCATATGCATTAGCCAAATCCAGGAATGTCACATGGAGCTCCTTCCTCTCCTTTTTAGCTGACTGAATTCGTTGCCAGATAACATTGATGTGTTCTAAGCATCCTGAGAACCCTGGAATACCCGCTTTTTGAACTGAGGTGTCGATGAAGCCATTCTTTAACAGGTAGGTGGACAATCTCTGGGCAATAATGCTGAAGAAAATCTTACCCTCAACGTTTAATAGTGAAATAGGACGAAACTGACTGATGCTTGTAGCATCTTTTTCTTTAGGTATAAAGACTCCACCTGCTCTGCGCCATGCTCTAGGTACAACCTGTTTTTCCCATGCCACTTTTATCAATTTCCACAGAATTCGCAGAACTCCTGAAGCACTCTTGTACACTCTGTACGGAACTCCATTAGGCCCTGGAGATGATGAAGCCCTTGCCTTTCTCACAGCCTGCTCTACCTCTTTCCACTTAGGTGCACAGACCTCCATTTGGTATTCTGGTGGGTTGATAGGTGGTATGTCTGATGGAATTGACATAGGCTCATGCCTTTTTGCATCTGTATGCGTGTCCTCCAAATATCTCTCTAGCTCAATCCTAGATGTTTTTAAAGTGCCATTCTTCTCACTGGTGAATAACTTCTTTACGAATTTGAATGGGTCTTTATAGAAATTAGCCCTCGCACGTTCCTTCTTTTTGTAGCGTTTCCGTAGGCGCTCAGCTCTGCGTAATGTTGCCAGCTTATCTTTTATGGCCCTTTGTAAGAGATTGAATCCCTCCTTCTGACCTTGTTCTGCTCTTTTCCATTGCTTCCTCAGCTGTCTCCTTTCTCTAACTAACCCTTCAATTTTCTGCTGCCGTCTAGACATTCCAGGAGTAGTTTGTACTTTTTCCTTCCTTTTTTCCACACCAAACCTCTCACTTCCATATGCGTAAATGATGTCCCCAAATTTATCCAGCTTCTTTTCAACTGTACCAGTTAATCTTTCCAATGCAAAGCATAGATCTGTGTTTACCATGTCCCATGCAGTTTTCTCACAAGCTCTTGGCCATCTAACTCCAGGCCTATGCCCGTTGAGGTTCTTTTCTCTCTTATGCTGGTTAGCCTGACCGGGTTCACAAGTATGAATTTGTTCATCACTAACTGTGCAAGCCCTCCTTTCGTCAATGACAGGGGTGCTGATATCCTGCGAGCTGTGGTTTGCTTCCTGTCGCTGGATTTCATTCGACTGACTTGACTGACTTCGTAAGAAGTACTGATCAATGCGAGGCCCTTGTCCCTTCTCCCTCAAGCATTT